AAAATGCTACAAGTACATAATAAATGTACACAGAGGTGTACATAACACTCACATGGAGTGGGGTCCACTTGATTTTTTATTTTTGGTCGGTCCCACTCAATGTGAGTATTATTTACACTTCTATGTACAATATTATGTACATGTAGCATTTCTCGAAAAGGAAAATCCTCATCTCAAGCTGCAATATGTTTGTGCCGTTTGACCCATACAACTTGATTGCAGGCATGATACGGTATATACCGTGAGTACTGTATAATACTTGTTAGCAATATTTAATTTGACAAAATGAGGCTCTTGATTGATGCACTTGTTATTTTTTTTTTTTTTTTTGGTTATAATCTGCTGCTTGCTGTGTTGTGTTCTGATGAAGAAAATGGGTTTAATCAGGGTTATGGAATGACTGAAACCTGTGGCATTGCCTCTCTTGAGAATCCATATATAGGCCCTCGACATACTGGCTCGGCTGGAATACTTGCTCCAGGTGTCGAGGCTCAAATAGTTAGTGTCGATAAATTAAAGCCTCTTCCTCCTGGCCAATTGGGAGAAATATGGCTGCGAGGGCCCAATACCATGAAAGGTATACAGTGTCAGATTTTATTATAGATATTTAATTATGCGTGTTTAAAATTCCAATTACTCTTAACTTTTTCTCAAAATGCCTCGAGTTTTCATGCAATGTTGATATATTTTGGTTGTTCCATTGAGGCTGTCGTGATATACTATCCTCGCTCTTTCTAAGAGGCAATTACCTGTGCTTTATTATTGTATTCATGTGTTAAAATCCTCGTAAATTATTTTTTTTACTGTTTTGTGCTCTGTCATAAGGCTATTTCAACAATCCAAAAGCTACCAAGCATACAATAGATAAGCAGGGATGGGTGCATACTGGAGATCTCGGGTATTTTGATGAAGAGGGTCAGCTATACGTTGTCGACCGTATTAAAGAACTCATTAAGTACAAAGGTTTTCAGGTAATTAATTACCCCTCTGTGAATAATGCTCCAGATATTTCCTCCATTGTCAAATTTTTTGTCCATCAAGAATTACATGTTCGATGATAGATCATTGTTTTCCCCAATTTCTCAACTAAGTGTTCCCTTTAATTGGTTCTCAATTTCACTTTTTTTTTTTTTTTTTTTTTTTTCTTGGTGTGATACTTGAAGTCTGCTGTGTTGTATGAAGATTGTGACTGGTTAAGTAGTAGTTTGTCCTGATTTGTTTTAAGAGATGAAGATTATTTTGTTTACATGCTTGATATTTATCTGTTTTTGAAAATTTCTCGGGTTAAAAGTACTTTGATTATGTTTGTAGCCGGAATTTGATTTCCGTTTACTTTCTGACTTGGTAGGTTGCACCAGCTGAGCTGGAAGGGCTGCTTGTGTCGCACCCTGAGATAACAGATGCTGTTGTAATTCCGTAAGAAACATATTAAAAATTTTCCGTTTGAAAAACTAGCTGATATATTAAAAGTGTTACGTAAAATTAGCTAATAAATCAATTGAGAAAATATAAGCTGGAGCGTTTTGAAAAAGTTCATGTTACCAAAGAGACTTATTTGAAAGCAAGAAACTTGTAAGGTGACTGAATTAGTTATTTGCTAGCTTACGAGGAATAACATATAAAAATCTTATTTCTTATTGGTGAGTAAATTATATGTGTTGATATTTCCTGTGTTTTCGTAGGTTTCCTGATGCTGAAGCTGGTGAAGTCCCAATTGCTTATGTTGTTCGTGCCCCCAATAGCTTGCTCACTGAGGAGGATATAAAGAAGTTCATTGCAGACCAGGTATTATTTTTACAGAAAAGAACACGAAGTTTTTTGTATGTTTTGGAGATAACAGAAAAATAAATACATTTCAGGTGGCGCCCTACAAAAGACTAAAGAAGGTTACATTCGTAAATATGGTCCCAAAATCAGCAGCAGGCAAAATCCTTAGAAAAGATCTCATCGACAAAGTGCGGTCGAAATTGTAATTTATGATGGTGGACTGTTTTTCTTGTCATTGTACCATTTTGTTTATGGTGCTATGTGCTGTCTTTAAAAACCAGTTACCCAGAATACGTTCATGGTGTTTGAATAAAATATAATAATCTCAACTATATCTATGATGTCGCTCCACAAGTGGTGTTGGATGTACTTTTACCTGTCAAATGTAAGGTGTACGGAGTTTTGTTGGCTAAATTTCATATATAGTCCACTATATAGTCCACTATGTTGGCCATTTTCCGAAAAAAGTCTATCGTATAGAGTGTCATCAATAATGGTTCACTATGTTGGCCACTTTAATCAAAACTTGTACAATATTCAACATAGTGTATAAAAAATAGCAAACACTTTTAGTACACTATCTTGGTTTTTATATGAATTTTGATGAAAATGGAAACTTAGTGGATCATTCTTAATGACGCCCTATATGATGGATCTTTTTCGGAAAATGACCAACATAGTGGACCATTTTCGAAATTCTGTCGAGTTTTAGTGCATTGTAAAAGACGTAGGCCCAATAACATTAAGACCGACTCCAATATGCATTAAAATCTGTCCAACCGAACTGCAAACTGCCCCTCTTCGGGCCTCCTCGAGCTATGACGCAGAGGTTCAGGCGTATCAGATCGGTCTTCAGATTGCCGACTCGATCTCCTCTCACATTTGGATAGAGTTGGACGCGGCCGCTGTCATCACTCTTCTGTCATCTGGCCATCAGGACACGTGGCAGATCCAGTATCCTCTCATACGCATCAGAGCCACTCTCCAGTTGATTCGCTCCCAGATCTCGCACATCTTCCGCGAGGGGAACCGGCCAGCTGACTTTCTCGCTGGCATCGGGTCCTCCACCCCCCCAGACGCATTCTTTACTCTGACGATATTCCTATCCGCCTTTGCACCCTCATACGGATGGACCAGATGGGATACCCTTCATTCAGATTTGTGTAGCCGGACCTACCTTTTGGCGCACCCGCCACACTGTGATGCTGACTTTCTCGCCGGGACTTCCCCCAGAACAGGATCTGTTATTTTCATATTTCTTGCTGTAGTTGTCAGCTTTTNATTTGCGTTTATACTTTCTCTCTCCTGGATAAAACGCTAATGGGTTGGATATTCAGAAGTTGCATATAGGTCCAAATTTTAATAAAACAATCATTTCTCTACCTTTTAAGTCTAGTTTGAAATAAAAAATTAGCAGTTAAAATTTTATAAAAAAAAATATAATGATAATCTTTTCTAGTAATTTATATTTTCTGTGAAAATATGTTTTAGTTATAAAATTTATCAATTGAACATATTTGTGCTTTAGTTTTACCTTTAATTATATATATGCTTTAATGTTGTAATTAATGTTAAGTTCGCTATACCGTACGGGGTAATATGCAGATAAAATTGAACATGTAAAATTAGCATTTATCAAATAAATAATAAACTCCTCGGTTCAAAAATTATCTTTAATTTAATTTCCTCAAATAGCGACGATGAAGAGGGAATCGATTCACGGTTATGTGGCTATCACCATCTTCGTACGTCTCGTCGTAGAGATCCACGTGTCTCCCCTATAAGCAAATCCAACTTTTGAATTCCGACTCCGGGAACAATTTTAATGTGGTGCAACTAAAGCTAATGCAATTATAACTTCCATTTCTACACCATTTCCTACAATATACGAAGTAGTTAAAGCTGATATGGACCACTAAATCACCTTTAAAACTAATAATAAATATGCAAATAATATATATTGATTTTTTATTTAAAAAACTTAATAAATGTTAATCTAGGAATCTAATAGTTATAGTAATGTTTATAATATAATTTCTATAAGATTTTTTTGTTGAACTCAAATTGAATTAGTTGTGTGTTAATTAAATTTCAAAAGTTAGTCTATTGTATGGTACAATTTCCTCATTATCCCAGTTAATTTGTAAAGTTGAAATAGAAACGACAAACATTTCTACAGCCCAATTATATATACTTAACCTTATAATATAGTTTATAAGAATGTAAGATGTAACGTCTCGTTTCTTGTATTAAAAACATAGCATTTGTATCACTCGACTTAATTTAAATCTCGGTTCTTAATTTTTCTCCTTTGCGCACTCGTTTTGCTTAATTGTGTACTTTGTATGCTAAGTGTTTAATTATTTTTCTAAGTGTTAAATTATTTTACTAAGTGTACTTATGTGCCAAGTTGAATTTTTGTGCTAAGTGTTAATTTAATTGACTAAGTGAATTAATGTGCCTAAATGTAATCGTTTGCTTGTGTTCAATTTGATATATATATATTTTTTTATTATTTTACCTAAGTTTTGTGTTTTCCTAAGTGATCTCTTTGCCTATATGTGTGTGTTGCTCATTTTCTTTCATGTGCATGAACTTGAACTTTTTTGCGCCAAGCACACCCCTTAGCTTATATAATTCGGCCCTTATTTTACTTATTTATTTAATGAGGATGTTTGATGCTGAGCCTTTATATGCCAATATATGCTGAATTATATGCCTTATTTATGAAGTTATATTTCAGTTTGGTAGCCTTGAGTTGGTTTTAAATTTTGAGTAAGATAGGAAGAGATTAGGAGATGCTTATATGTTGTGTCTTATTGAGAGGCCTCGTTAATTTTGCCATAATCGGAACATGTCCAAAGCCTTATTTTTTTATGTGTTAGTATGCTGAAAATGCTTATTTCCATAGTTATATTTTCAGCTTTTATAAGGCCTTAAATTGTTGTTGTTTTAGGCTTGAAGTTGAAGAGAAAAAATGAGTTGGTTCCTGTGTTGTTTGGCCGAGTAGTTTGCTAGGTTTTTGCTGCACATTATTATGTGCTATACATGCTGAAGGTTAGGATGCGCAAGAGTTTTCATTTCAGTTATAAAGTCGTAATTTGTGTGGCTTAATGTTTGAGGAAAAAAGAAAAGAAAAGAGCCCTTTGGTGTTGTGTTTTTGCCATGCTGCTATGTGTTATTTGGCTAAGTTGTATTGTGTTGTTAAGCATGGAAAATTAGTTGTTCTTTGAGGTTAAGTTTCAGTTTTTATTGGCCTTAAATCGTTTGAGAAAGTTGAGCAAAGTTGGTTTGAGAAGAAGAGAAAGAAAAAGAGTAGAAGTTAGACCTTGTTTTACGTTGCTGTGTTTCTGTCAGTACGTTCGTATGCTGTTTTGACCCTCGAACTTAAGCCGTCTGTTTTTGAACTCTTTTTATGACTTGAAGTTCAGTTTATTATCTTTGAGTAGGCACTAGAATCATGCAATTACTTTTTTCATATAAAATGTTACGTTCAAAATACGAACACCGCGCAAGAAGGTATTGTGTAGAGTTGGCAGCAGGTTGTTGTATAAGTTTGACCAGTTTTTGCCACTTTAACTTGCTCGAAAGCATTTGAAGTCTTTACAAGAAATGCAGTTATATCTCTTGTCTTTCCATATTTTCTAAAATCAGTCTAAAATACTTACTACAACAAAAGTTATGGTCATTCTTGAGGGACTGCGCATGAGTTATATGTTTAATTTTCTGGCAGCAGCGAAGTTTGTTTGTTAATTGAAGTTCCACCCTTTAAAAGTCCTTATTTGTATTTTATATCTAAATGAAAGTTTTAGATATGAGTCTTGTGATCGTTTTGGAAAAGTAACACTTTCATACGTATTTTCTATTTAAAGTTATTTTCAAAATAAATTCACTGCACATAGATGTTTTATTCGGTTTTCGGCAACTTGAGTTTTATGTTTAGAAATAGTTTCCATCGTCTGATTTCACTCGTGAGTGGTCGATATCTAATTATAAGTTTTAGAGTTTTTCGAGCCTTATAAATTATCTGGGAACTCTAGACGAGCCTAGAAAAGCCGAGAAAAGAGTTAGAAGAATTTATGTGCTCTATTTACTTTTATTTGTCTGGTTTGCTTTATATAATTTCCTTGGTTGCCTTATTTTCCTGTGTGATTTGCATGTTTTTCGCCACCCTTAATAATAAGATAAAACTAAATTTAAATTGTAGATTAAGAGGAGTCGAGCTCTCATTCAGACGAACGTGTATTCATTCAATTCAGTCAGTCAATAAGCAATTAAGGTGGAGATTTCTATGCTATGTTTTATTCTTAACAACTATAGGATATTATGGTTAAAGTATGTTAGGGAGTATTTGTCCACCAGTGGGCATCAGTTAGATCTCCCGTTGTCTAGTGGGTCAGGGGAAAAATTCAAAATTAGTCCCACAAGTATAGGTGGGTGACAATTTTGATCCCGACGGAATGCAGAAAATATGAATAGTCCCACAACTTTTAAAAAATGATCAAAAGTAGGACTTTTTCGCCGGATTTACTATTTTCGCCCCGGAATGCCACGTGGCGCACACGTAGCTTATTTTTTTACACGCTGGCATCTGACGTAGATAGGAAAAATTCAAAACTAGTCCCACAAGTATAGGGGGGTGACATTTTTGTTCCCGATGGAATGCAGAAAATTCAAAACTAGTCCCACAATTTGTAAAAAAATATGAACACGTCGGATGCCAGCGTGTAAAAAAATAAGTCATGTGGCGTTCCGGGCCGTAAATAGTAAATCCGGCGAAAAAGTCCTACTTTTGATCATTTTTTAAAAGCTGTGGGACTATTCATATTTTCTGCATTCCGTCGGGACCAAAACTGTCACCCCCCTATACCTGTGGGACTAGTTTTGAAATTTCCCAGTGGGTCAGTCCATGTAAACAACGATATCCCGACGGATCAGTCCAGTGCGGTCCAGACCGAATTATTCATTTATATGTTGAGATTATGGTATCTATGAATAATAGCATAGTACAAATTACCATGGTGAGCTCGTTGTTTTGCTCACCCCCACTTTATCATTTTCAGTTTACGCAGCCGGCACCTGACGAGGGGCAGTGGTGGTAAATTTATAATGTTGCAGTTTTATTGCTTCCGCTAAACTTTTTCAGAACATGTTATATTTCAAATATTTGAGATTGTGTTTGATTGAGTTTCAGTATTTCATTTCAATTGAAAAGAGAGTATGTTTCGGGAACAAATTTCCTAATAACCTAAGTCTAGACTTAGGTTAAGATAAGAAAGAGAGTAAGTAAGAAAGAGTAAGTACCTTAAGATCAATTTTTAAGAGTTACTTCGTTTTCGAAAAGTTCGACTATATTCTGAAAATCCAGATGTTTTCAAAGTATAAGTAGGAGGTGCTTACATAAGACCACAACAAAAAAAAAAAAATGTGACCTTTTTGGGTTAGTTTATTATTATTATTATTACTAGTGTGTACCCCGTGCGATGCACGGAAACAATATTAAATTAACAATATTTAAATAGACCTCGAGTTTGAGTCACTCAATGGCGGAAGTGGAAACTACTATTAATCCTATTTAAAAAGAAAAAGAAAAAAATAATAATTATAAATTAAAGAGGAGGATAAACAATACTTAATAATTATAAATTAATGATTCGGGGTCAAACAATGTAAAACTATTTTGTATAAGAGAATATGAAATTTATATTATTTTGTATAAGAGAATATAAAATTTGTATGTATAATATTAAAAACACCTAAAATATTATATTAGTATATGTAAAAGTATTCAAAATTTTCAATATTATTTTTGAAAGATGTGAAGTCACCTACAACTTTTCTAAACAATTTTAGAAGGAAAACATATCTAAAAACATTTGAATTTAACATTGTGTAAAAAAAAAAATTCTAGACTATTTTGTAAAGAAAACATCTCTACAAATTTTTAAATTTAACATCAATTAATTATATGTATATATTTATATATATATAAATATATATATAGACGAATATGTAAAAAAAAATGTCTAAACAATTTGTTTAAACTATGTAAAATATTATAAGCATAATTTAAAAAAGGCTTTATGTCAGATGATACCGAAGAATGTATGGCGTTAGTTCCATCTAAAAAATTTGATTACACACAATTATTATTATACTTAAATCTAATTACACACCATTATTATTATAGTTGTTATCGAGGATGTATTGTTAGCTTATTATTAGTAATTAGACCGATGAAAATTAACTTTTTAAAGTAGAGAATGGATTTCTAGTAGTAGTAGAGATGAGATTTTTTAAACTCGTGAGATCGTCTGCGATTGGATTTTATTTGTAACAGATAAGAGATAAACTCTAGATTTATGCTATGAGTTTTCAATACCCAAAAAACAGAAAAAAGGAAACAGGTTCTAACACAACTAATCTCCGATTTTGTTACCTTATCAATATTGTCCAACAATTACTATATATAGGATACATTTAATGTATTTGGCGGGAAAACATTTCTAAATTTATAAAAAAATTATTCTTTTTATATAATGATATATTATTATTATTATTATTATTATTATTATTATTATTATTTCTGGCTTTAAAATTTTGAACTTTTTTTTTGGTACAAAAAATTTTAAACTTTGAAATCTCTGATGCACATTAGTTTGAGTTTTCCCTTTCTCTCCTTACTGAACAGAACTTTAAATTCCATATTACACTCTGCTGGAACTCCCCTTCCTGGTTTCGCGATGGTCGAGGTAAATAAAACTCATTCTTGTCTAACTCACTTTTTTTTTTCTTTTTTTTTTTGTGCCCGTTGATCATGGTGTTGTTATTTGTTGTATACGATTCTTCAGAAATGTGTATTTCCACAAAAGAAGAAGAAGAACAGTAGCAATCAACAAAAATCAAAAGACGACAACAACAGCAATGTCACGACCGTTATCTTAAAGGCTGATCTACACTGTGAAGGATGTGTTTCTAAAGTGTTGAAATGCATTCGCTCTTTTAGTGGTAAGAACAAAAATAATAATAATAATAATAATTATTCTTTGATTTTATTTATTTCAATTTATTAAGTTTTTTATTTATTAATTTAGGAGTCCAGAAAGCGTCTATTGGAGACGTGCAGCAGATTACGGTGGTGGGGAAAGTCGACCCTGCCCGACTTTGCGAAAAACTTGAGAAGAAAACACACAAAAGAATCGAAATTATTTCGCCTTCAAATGATAAGAAAGGAATAGAAGAAAAAGATGGCAATGGCGGCAAGGAAGGAAAACCGGGGAAGAAGAACGAAATCAAAGGCAAAAACTCCAATATAAAAAATACTAAGGAGAAGGTGCTAAAATGTTTTATCTATTTTCTCCTTATTAAGTTCAACTTCTCCCATTTTTTCCTTGTGTGTACATTTTATTTTCTTTTTTCTTTTTTATTCGCTTTCGTGTGGTTGCGGGTGTAACTAACTTAGGAGTTAATTTATTTAATTTTCTTTGTCTCTAGCAGTTTTATTCGGTTGCAACTTGCATCACGCAATGCATGCAATTGCGGTTTTTACTTTTTAGTTTGTTTTTTAATATGCCACTAACTCCTACATGAGCGGATATCAGTAGCCACTTGGATTTGACCAAACTCAATTTTCTTATTAAATAAATAAACAATAATCGAAAAAGAAAAAGTCCAATTTTTACTTTTTTATTTTAATTTTATTATTATTATTATTATTATTATTTATTTATTTATTTATTTATTTGCAGCTTCCAGTGACGACAGCCGTGCTGAAGGTTCATCTGCACTGCCACGGTTGCACACAAAAAATCTGTAAACTCGTCACCAAGACCAAGGGTGAGTGTGATTTTATTTTTTTTTTTTCTTGGAAAAGAAAGAAGAAAAATTAATAGGAAATGATGTTATATTGTTTTTGGTTATTGCAGGATATGAAGATATGAAGATGGACAAGGTGAAAGAGTTGGTGACAGTGAGGGGCGCCATGGACATGAGTGCTTTAGCTAATTCGCTGAAGAAACATTTAAAAAGGGAGGTTCAGATTTTGCCGCAAGCTGAGAAGAAAGATAATAGCGACAAGGTAATTAATAAGGTCCAAAAGGAGAAGGAAAATGAAAAGGAAAAGGAAAAGGAAAAGGGCGGCGGGTCAAAAACTACTTCTGGTGCTGGTGAGAAGGCGGTGCCGAGTGGCCCAGAAAAAACCCAAGGGAACAACAAAGCCAAGTCCCAAGTTGGGCCGGTTTTAAACGGGCCGGGTTTTGTGGTGGAGCAGTTTCACTACAGCCCGTGTGAGTTTGGGTCCCACCACGCGCCTCAAATTTTTAGTGATGAGAATCCAAATGCTTGTTGTGTAATGTAAAAAGGGAGTGGGGGTGGATATGGTGAGACAATACCGAGATAGCTCCGTTTGTTGAAAATTTGCAATATGGTAAATTATGCTTGATCTTCTTTTTGTTTCGATATATATTTACAGTACACTAGCTAGTCAAAAGCATGTGTGATGCACTGGTAAATAATATTAAATAATAATTTTAAATTAAAGATAAATTAACATGTGATATAATCCGTAAAAAATATAAAATTATGTCATATAAAAGAACATAAAAAATGTATATTTAGTATATTAAAAGTACCTAAAATATTGTATAACCTATGTAAAAATATTTAAAATTTTCTATATTATCATTGAAAGATATGAAGTCATCTAATTTTTTTTAAACTATTTGGTAAAGAAAACATTTCTAAAAATATTTAAATTTCTTATTTATATGAAAAATATGAAGTCGGCTAAATTTTTTCTAAATTATTTTGTAAATAAAATGTGTCTAAACATATTTAAATTTAACATATGTATATGGGTATATAGATAGAATATGTACGAAAAATTGTTTTATATGTTTATATGTATATACAGATAGAATGTGTAAAAAAATTGTCTAAACTATATTTTCAAAAGTATCTAAAATATTACAAGCCTAAATAAACACTTACTGATTTATCAATTTTACAAATACAAATCGAGATTAATACAAATCAAATATAATATAACAAATAAAATGAGATATTATATTTAAATGAGATTAATGACGAAAATTGATAGCTTGAATACTTCCACCTGCATTTCTGCCGATTCTCGTCAATTCAAAATTTCACTCATAAAATCACCACTCGCTATAGTTCTGAAGGTGAAAACTATACTTAAAAATAGGCAAAATTTTAAAAATGGTCCACTATGTTGGCTATTTTTTGAAAAAGGTACATCATCTAGGACGTCATCAAGAATGGTCCACTAAGTTGCCAATTTAATCAAAATTCGTACAAAAACCAACATAATGTATTAAAAATGATCATTTTTTGTTGTCATATTTAGTACACTATGTTGACTTTTGTACAAATTTTGATTAAACTGACAACTTAGTGGACCATTCTGAAAGACGCCTTATATAATGGACCATTTTCAGAAAATGGCCAACATAGTGTACTAAAAATAAATTTTTGCCCTTAAAAATACATGGAGATAAAACTCCATCTCAATCCCCAACAGCGGAGGCCATAGGCCTTGTCTTCTCAAAACTGCCCTTGGATATGTAGCATTAAAAATAGTTATAGAAATGTACAAAAAAACTTAACCCTGCAGGTTAATTAATTAATTAATTTCCCTTCCATGTGTGACTATGGTGAAATTTTTGGGGACCTTCTGTTCTTGCCCGAGAAACAGCTGGATGAGCCGAGCGCATGATAGTTCACGTACCGGCTAGGGGCCGATGAATGAGGGAAGCCTTTGGGCACATGCAGTCATTGATTTCACGGCCGTGAAAAACTTGGCGCTCGTGATTCAAAAATGGGGCTGTGGTAAAAAAGCCTCTCGTTTTCGACCCAATTTTGGGGAGTGCAGTGGAGGGTGCACTGGGCAGTATGGGGTAGTGCCTTGCCATTGTAAAAGAGGACAAGAGTAGGAAAAAATGAATGAATGTGATGTGTGACATTCTTGTGACACTACTTAGGCTTTGGTTCTATCTGTGATGGTTGTTAAGGAGGAATATATATAGGAGAATTTACTTGAACATGCCCGTGTCAGAGGCCATGTCACTTTAACAGAGACAATTCGTAACCTGAGAGCTGACACGAGTTGCGACACGGCCAATGACACGGCCGGGCAGAATGGCCGTATCGCGCGCGCAGGCTGCTATTTTTATTTCTTGCCTATTTTGAAAAGGAAAAGTTTTGGACATTATAAAAGGTATATTTACCCTATTTTGAGAGAGGAAAACGTGAATACACCATAGAGGAGCCCTAGAACACACAAGAGAAGCAATTGGAAAGCAAAGGAAGATCAACCACAAAGGGATCAAGAAGATTGAAAGATCGACGAGATTTCTAGTTTTTATTTCTTCTTTCTTTTTGAACTTTTATTGATCATGTTGATTTCTAATATGTCTATGTATTTGAATTCGAACATGAGTGGCTAGTTTATTTGATTCTAAGACTTGGTAGTAGATTAATATGTTGGGATTTTGGATGATTTATTATAATTGATTGTTTTCTTTTGAACCATATTCAAATATTTTGTTCTTATTTCATGTTTAGCACTTGGCCAATGTTTTTACATGTTTGACAATATTGTTCATAATTCGAGAGATGAGTTCAATATTAGGTCTTGAATATTTGACACAATTTACTTGCTTGAATCGAGAGATTAGTAGGTTGTTGTGAGGATATTAGATCTTTTAATCTATTTGGAGTTGAATTTCATGTTTTGAGTGGAGACTGTAGACAAATTATTTTTTTTTTTACCGAGCACCGAATCAAATGATTCGTTTCCCGGGTCGATCTCTCGAGGAAGACTCTTCGGAATTTAGTATTGGTGTCGATAACACATAAAATGAAAACAAATCCTAAACATTCTAATCATGATAGGGTTTTTGATTATTACCTAATAAATAACAAAAAACGGGTCACGAGCACCAATATATACGAAAAATTTAGAATAAAAAGAAAATAAGAGAAACACAAAAATTAATCAAATTCACAAGATAAAGAGAAACACGGAAAATAATATCACACACCAAAACTAAATATCCTACTCGTCTTCCCCGGCAACGGCGCCAAATTTGTTGTAGACAAATTATTTTTTTTTTTACCGAGCACCGAATCAAATGATTCGTTTCCCGGGTCGATCTCTCGAGGAAGACTCTTCGGAATTTAGTATTGGTGTCGATAACACATAAAATGAAAACAAATCCTAAACATTCTAATCATGATAGGGTTTTTGATTATTACCTAATAAATAACATAAACATAAATCTACCTAAAAATATAAGCAACGAAAAGATAAATATGCTAGGGAATCGGGAATAATCGCTTCCGGTTCTACACTCATTTAATGGCAATCAATAACTCGGTCAACGGCCTCGACTCATCCACTCGTTTAACGACTCCACCATCATAGCATTACGCGGTAGATAGAGAAATCATAAACGAGCAATTAGACGAGACAATCAACACATAGACAATACGTTTCCGGGTATGCCTACTCTAAACGAGCCAAATTCCATCAATATCTCCCCTCTCAGTTATGAAATCGATTATTTCTACGACTCCTCCCCTTTCGGTTCTAAAAGTCGCAATTCAAAGAATTAACAAATTTAAACTTAACAAATCCATGTTCAAGAATAATCAAAGTGTCACTCTTTGATTTTTCAACAAATTAACCTAAGTGTCACTCTTAGGTTATAAACAATTACTAAGTCTAATTTACCAATTCATAATTAGAACAACTCGTCAAGATTGAACTATCGTCATGCACATAAACGAGCTTAAACCAGAATGATTATCCCCTATCCCTAGCTAGAGGATTAGCTACTCATACCAAATTCAACACAACAAAATATTTCTCCTAAATTAACCATTATTCATGAATTAATTCAAAGAGAAAATAGACTTACATGGCAATCTTCAAGTTGTTGAATCCAAGTACAAGCATCATCCAAAATACAAACTATAACAAGAAGAAGAGAAAATAAAAAGAAGAAGAAGAAGAAGAAAAAGAAGAAGAAGAAGAAGAAGAAGAAGAAAAGAAAAAAAAGGAAAAGAAGAAGAAGGAGAAGGAAGAAGGAGAGGGGGAGCAATCCAAAGATAATGGTGGTGAGGAAGATGGTGAATGGAGAGTGTTGGGGCATTTTTATGGACAAGAAAACATGTTTATCCACCCAAGATGAAGAATTGCTCCCCATTGAAGGCATTAGTCCGGATTTTTGGCCACTTCCCACCTCTTTTCGAGCTTTTGAAGTTCAAATAAAAAAACTGTGATTTTTGCTCTCCGCGGCCGCGACTTGGTCCCGCGGCCGCGACTTTTTGCTGCAGAAATTTGGAGCTGGCAGCTTTATGTTCGCCGCGGCCGCGACGAAGAAAATCTCGCGGCCGCGGAGGTCAAAATCTGCACTGCACCATCTTACGATTTTTGCTCGTTCGGGTTCGTTTTAACTCGGAATTGAGTTCTGTTTTTTCCTACGTGTAGCCAACGAACCCCTCTATCCAATGGTGTCAGCTTCCCCACAAGATTCTCGAAAACTGGTTCTCCCGAAGCT